AGAAGATGATCTTTGCTGCGAACCCTGTGTATGAATGTGCGGGAGAATCTAGGTTGAAATTTGCCCGAGAGGTACCGTGAAGGTAGAAGCCATGGGCGCTGCCCACTCTCAAGTGACCACGCTAAATCTGCAAAGGAACTATTTTAGCGAGTTCAAGGCTGACCCCGCACATTAGCACAAAGAGACTCCTCAGACTTCTGTTCCAATTTTTCATACGCAGGAACGGCTTTGATGTAGCTTGGTAGATTGTTTTTGAAAGGTTCGAATTCAAAAGCCAATGAGAAAAAAAGGTCAATTTAGTTTTGGGATCATTTTTCGCGATGTCTGGCCTTCCTAGCAGGCCTCGCAGGGGAGAGAGGTAGGTGTTGCAGTCTGAACATGGAATATGCCAGTAGTAGGCACTGTTTCACCTGGACTCATTCCAGCATACGTGGCCCTATTTGGATTGAGCTAACAGACTTTCCCTCAGTAATGTTAGTATAATAATGCATTACACATAAAAGCTCCCAGTAGTACAATGTGTATGGCCTATAAAGCGGCCGAGCGTGTTTCGTGATAGTCTCTAGAGGCACTCAAGCGTCAGCATTCCTTTCTAACTACCGTTGAGAAGCAGGTTTGATTCGAGAAACCGCTGTGGGATAGCTCTTGACTTCTAAGAGCTCCCCTCAGCCGTTTGCTGATTACAGAGGCGCAGCCAGTTGTTGCTGAATTGATCATCTCACCTGAGAATTGCTACCTTTATCAGAGGAAAAGCTGCTATTTAAAATGTCACCGCAAGTATCTTCCAAGACTGTCCTTCTCGGAGCTTACAAAATTGAGTACAATAACTGTGAACCACTCCATGTACTCGCAGGAACCATGAGCTTTACCCTTTGCTCTCGCTGTGAATATTCTGATGCCTGCGTGGCATGTAAGCTGTTGCCTGGTCTTGCTAAGGTTGATGGTTCTTAATTCAATGGTATGGCTAACCTTAGAACCAGAGGGCGGTCAGCAAAATTCCGTATGCCACGCCCAAAACAGATGTGAAATGTTCCTAAATGGCTTGCCGTGTAGGGTCTGAAATCACGTGCTTAGAGCTACAGTACTGATAGCGACCGCAGCCTTCCGGCTTTGTGAGCGCCTCAGTAAGGAAGGATTGTTAAGTTTTGAATGAGATTGATTTTCCATTAACCCTTGGTAATTTTGTTACTATTTGTATAGCTGCGCCTCTCTTGCTTTGCCTCAAGCAAAACGTTATAAACAAATACTAAACTATAAAAAACAATAAGCCTGGGCATCACTATTCAGCGGTAATTTATGTCTTGTGCCTGTAGACATTCGAGGCGAAACTTCTCTTTCAGCGCTATGTTTGTTCAAAATCGCTCTCTCAAAGCGTCTGGAAGCATTTCAACACCGTTCGCATGTTATTATATATCTATTCCGCATAGCATGACTTTTTTCTGATTAATTGCAACATTGCTCGGAGAATCGGAAGAGTGCTGATGGGCAACCAGACCTCAGGGAGGATTGTAATCGCCACGCTTAGGAAAGTCACAGCATTCTCGGATTGCTCCCCAGCCAGAACAACTAGCAAGAATATTCCGTCAATAATATGTCATAATTTTATGTGTTTATGAGGGCGGCCAATGGCGTCATGGGTGTTTGTGAAGGGTGAACCTTGAAACTTTTTCGGGGATGGCGCAAATGCCGAAGGTGAAGGACACCCTTGGTAAGCAAATGGTGGTCTTCCATTCATGTATTATACGATCAACACATTACACCAAACAGCGTCGCTACAAGCGAGAACAACGGCCAATTAGTTGAGCAAAGGTAGCTGATCAAAACGGCGCAGGTGCGGTACACTGTGTGGGCAATAACACCATATGTGTGCGCTAGTCTCCGTTAACCCCTCAAAAGGATCACAGTGGAAGAATAATGCCATTGGCTATGGCTAGCGAGGACCTGAAAATGGTTGACCGCAGTCACTGGGAGCAGCGCCGTAACGCCCACTTTGGATTTAACCCTTTGAACTTCGAAGGAGGACTGATTGATTTTTTGGCCTCTCGAACGACTTGTTTATTCCATCTCAAATGCTAGTTTAAATATATTTGATTGAATGAAGATGTCTTGCAGCAAACCACGGAGAATGAGGCCGACAAATGGCGAAAACGAATGCGAGACGACATCGAAGGAGAGCTTCTGAACCCTGAAGAGTATGGACGACACTTTGAAGGTGAATCTCGTCCTTCGAAAGGTGTTTTTCAAAAAACGCTGAATAAATTTCCTCCAGGCGATATTATTCTGTTTCCCGAACAAGCCAAACAGATCTACGAGAACGCCCTGAAGACAGGCCAACGACGGGTGAAGCGAAAGTTTATCGGATCGGATCTGCGTCGCTGGGATCCCACGCGGCCCATCGTTTACAGTTTCGACGGGTCGCACAGTGAGTCCCCCATTTGATTTCGCGCTTTATTCCGCAGGGAAGCGCATGAGTCACAGATTTGAAAATGTGATTGGGGACTCAAATTGCTGTGCACTCGCGTAGTACGAAGCAAGTTGTGGTATAACACAAACAGGTAACTGTAGCGCTTCCATGGACCTAATTAAAGCAAAAACATGCGAGTACATCAAGAGGGACGCGTTGGGTGCTCAGCACACAGCGAAATTAGAATATTGAGCTGAAAAGAATAGATAGGTATTGATTAGTAGAGTAGGAGAACAGGCACCTTCATCCGGATTAATCAACACTTCTAGTCTTCTCCAGCTGAATTTTCCTATTTTTTATTAGTGTCTTACCTCCTGTCTCTCAAATTGTGCAGTGTGAATGCGGACAGTCCCCCTGCCCTGAACCCATCCGTTGAGTTGCACATTGGGGAACGGGGATCTATCATCCAAGGAGCACGATATGCGTATAAGAAATGAATCTTGGTGATGTAACCAGGGACCGATTCTGATTTGCAGCTGCTGCATTGCAGCTTGCTAGTGAACTATGACACAAGCATTAGGCTCCGATGCATTGTAAGGACCATGAGGTGCAAAACATCTAACCACGCCGTTATTCAGCATCCCGGGAACAGCGAATCATCGAGCTCGCCTTGGAGCACTGGCACAACATCACATGCCTCAACTTTGTCCGCAACGACAACGCCAACAGTGGAAATCGCATCGGTCAGTTTTGAGACTGATTTTGTTATGCTGTGAACGATTCTTCTGTAGGGAGACATTGCGCCTGGCGATTCCGAGTCAAACGTTATTCTTAGTGTTCACGGATGTCGACGGATGTGCGAGCAACGTTGGAAGGCATCCCCTCGGCGAGGAGCAGCTCGTATCGCTAGCGCCGGAGTGCATTCGGGTAAGGTGACAGTGACTTCATTTTCTGCGCTTTTGAAATTCTTATTTCGTATTTGAAGCCCATACATTTAATTATCCTGTAGAATTTTCATGGGACTGCTCATTTCCTAAGCTGCACCACATTTTGCTTGAGTACACCCAGGGTGGGCAAGTCGTAACAACTGAAGCGAAGAGAAAGCTCGCCAGAATATCACGCCACTTAAATAATCGCAACTTCATGATAACCATCCGTCTTGTGTCGACCATGTACACATGATAGCGCCATTCATAACGATACTTTGTGAGACTGCGAAAATATTGCGGTAGTTCATCGTACGGCTGACAACCGGTTCGCGGGTTCGAAACCGCTGAGAAATCGACCTTGGTTACGGGATTTTTACGAGGAATATAGAAGTAATGACGCTTCTTGTGCAGAGACGAATTTGTATAGTTTCCGCCACCATCGGATTTGAGAAGATCAGCTGACAAAGACTTTGGCGCTTTCGGCTAGATACCATAGGATTCCCAGAAAGAGAGCTCGGAAAAGCGTTCCAAACGGATG